ACAAGCAATGGGAAATATATTCATAAACAGAATGAAGAGGGAAAAGGTATTGCAAAGCAAAACAAGGCAGAAAAAAAGTGTGGTGTGTAGCCATTTTATATCTTCAATAAATGTACCTAGTTTGTTTCCTGTTTTTCCTCTTGTTTTGTTGTCAAGATTGACAAGCATTCTTGTGCTAGCAGGTGACAACTAGCACTCACTTGGATAATCATTGGAGGAAAATGGGATGTTTTAAAGTGCATTATTGACTGCAGAAGTCCCCTGACATACGGTATTTCTTTGCAAAGCTTATGACTGACAGAATTAAAGACCATTTCTTGGCAGAAGAAGAAAACAAATCCAGCCTTTTTTCTTGAAATACCTAGGATGCCCTTAATTTTTATTTTTAAGTTACAAAAACCTGGATTAAGAAACAGTAGCCAAATGTCTAGCGCCATAAAACCTAAGCAAATAAAGAAATTAAAAATATGCTGTGCATATTAACATTATACTATGGGCTGCATTAATTAGATTGTAGTTATTTGCATGCAAAGTCTGGATACTTATTTGATGCTTTTGTTAAGAGCTGAAAATACTTCATGTTATTGTTCAGGTATCTAGCTTATTGCCCTAGAATTATAATTCTGATTGTTATGTTTTTTACATATGAAAAGGACCCCAATTCAGAATACACTCCTAAACTGGATAGGGGTCTCCCAGTGCTTCCCCAATGCATGGCAGTTCTTTTCAAATTACTTTTATTTGCAATGCCCCAAATAGTCTTGTATAGTTAAGTAGCATCATGCTAATGATGCCACTTTCAGGGACAAATTGCTTCAAAGAAATTAAGATCTCACTGTAGATATTGTCCATTGCATAATGAGTCACAAACCTCCACATGCAATGGAAAATGCCTATGGTGATCTTGTAACTGGAACCAATTCACCTCCAGAAGTTTTCCTGTTAGTGTAAGACAAGGTAGCCTATGCAAGAGAATTTGGGGCACTGAAAAGAAGACAAACAGCAGGGCGGGAAGCTGGTGGGCAACCCCAGTCCAGATTAGGTGCACTTTTCAGACCAGTGTTCCACTGCTTTTTATTTAAAAGTGAAAGCAGCCAGATGAAGGAGGATGACTTTTTAAAAAGACCAATGTCAAGTGTCAGGTGGCACAAAGTGTAGTCATGTCAGGAGGAAAGTCTTGTAATTGATTTCTCCTGCATTCCAAAAATTGGACAAAAATACATCAAAACATCATAGAAAGCTAGATTTTAGAAGAAATTCATACAATTTGTTTTTCTTTTTTGCAGAGTTTGAGGTTTTGATATACATTTACAATAACAAGCCTGCACATAATTTCAGACTGTGTAAGAGTGTGAGGAAGGGACCCCAGCACATCCAGTAGACCAAATATGGACTGTGATGGAACTTATAACTATGACCCTGCTCTCCCTATATGTAGTCACATCGTTAAACATTTATACTGTATAGAGCAGGGGTGTCCAACCTTTCACCTTCCCTGGGCCACATTAGAAGATGAAATTTTGGTTTGGGCCGCACATAAATTTGGTTTGGGCCGCATGCCGTTCTCCACAGCCCATTATCACCGCATATATCCCTTTTTGATATTCAAAAGGAACATAGTTTACTTGGTAACTATCAACCGCCATCTCTTCCTAACCCCATTCCTTTTTTATTCCAGTGGCTGATATTCCAAGTAACTATTTTTAATGTGAATATAGAAAGTAAAATCAATTGACTTTACTTCAAAGCAATCCATATTCAGAACTCTAGCAGCTCTTAGATAATTATATTACTACTACCACCACCACTATTACTAAATCAAAGTAGCCATGAGATCCATGAGTAGAAAACTAGGGGGGGGGAGTTGAAGTTTGAGTAATTCCTTTCCTGGCACTAAAAAGCTACAAACAAGCTGAGCTTTAAGTCTTCCAGAACTCTTATTCAGACATAGATGTCATGAAACTGGAGAAATTGGGGAAATCAATCTGGTGAAAATTTATGGATGTTTTGCTTCTTCCCAAACAACCCTTTAAAAACATACACCCTATGCCAACAGATCTGGTAGCTGAGTCATGGCAACTAGACTTTTCTTATTAGGTTGAAACATTTCACTACTCATCCAAGTAGCCTCTTCAATCTGAGGAGAGTTGGTAGGTGATCCCACATTGGTTTCACTTCCCCCTGGTCTGAATAGGCTCATTAGATGGACAAAGGATGGGGGTGGGTTTGAGTGAAAATCCTACTTCTGCAGACCTTCTCCATACATTGTCATGGGTTGTTAATGGTCATTAACAGTGGTCTTTCTGGTGGGTATGGTCCTAATCTTTCTGGGAACGGATCAAAGAGCAGCATGATAAATGGGAGACCAGACACCAAAACACAACAGGATCAATATAGTATATGTTGTCCAATGCAAAGAGAAGTGTTCGGAGCTCTACACTGGAGAAACCAAACAGCTACGAAACAAGAGAATGGCTCAGCATAGGTGGGGCAAAAGGTCAGGGCCACAATCAGCAGTGTTCCTTCATTTGAAGGACAGAGAACACTCATTTGATGACCAAGATGTACACTCATTTTGGACCGAGAAGATAAGTGGTACATGTGCATATAGACTCAGCAGGGGTGGAGGCCTTAAATATAATCCATCTCCCATTTATCATGCTGCCCTTTCATCGTCCTAAGAAAGATCAGGACTACACACCAGAAAGACCACTGCTAATGACCCATGACAATGGGTTGAGAAGGACTGCAGAAGTGGGATTTTCACTCAAACCCCCACCGTCCTTTGGCGATCTAATGAGCCTATTCAGACCAGGGGGAAGTGAAACCAATGTGGAGGTCTCCTACCAACTCTTCTCAGATGGAAGAAGCTACTTGTATAAGTAGAGAAATGTTTCAACTTAATAAGAAGTCCAGTTGCCATGACTCAAATTCTAGATAACCTCACCTGGATGACTGAGAATCTTCACAGACAACAGGCCAGCTGAATTTCGAAAATCTCTCTTGGCTTTTAACTACATCTTACTCTTTAATAAGGGACTTTGATTCCCCAAGACTCTTACTAACTTTATGTAAACAGGAACATTGGATGCCTAAGTAAAGAACAGGGAAATGGAAGGAAACATCTTACTAAAATGAGAAAATTGATTCACAAAATTTGTTAACATTTTGTATAAGGGTTTTAATGTTCCATCAGACTCTTAAATAATGAGGATTTGCAGCTGCCGGAGTTTAATGCATTAGTTAAATGATATAGATGTACTATGATGTTGTAGGCTCTGATCAGTTCTACCTCTGCCAGTCTTAGATGATATCAGTGGTGGACTCAAAGACCAGGTTTGTCTATTTCATCTGATGAGACAGAGGCACAGGGAGCCTATACAACTGAAGTCAACATTCTATTATTAAGAATTACCAAATTGACACCTATTATCATTCAGAGAATGAGGGAACTGGAATAGATATTCCAGATCACCTATCTAGCCAGATCTCTGCCACTGCCCTTCACTCGGCTTGATCTAGAGGACTTCTAGATGCAATTAAGAATTCCATGTCCAGTCTCCACAGAAGCAGTGGCCTCAGAGCAATGGCTGCTAATTGTCTATTGTGCAGTGTAATTTTGGGCTATTATGTTAAAGCAAAACAAACATGTGTCATTTATAATCTTTTATTCACACTTCCAGAGACAAAGGTTGAGCACACCAGCTCTTTGTACTAAACATGCATATGCCTCTCTTCCTCTTCTCACTAAGCTGTCATTCCTAATTTGTACAGAGAAGTCACAGCAAGTTATAATTAGTACTTGCTGCCCTGTCAACCAATTAAATGTAATAAAAAGCTTTCATGGGGGTTAATGCTAACATGGGTGTAATTAAAGCTTGGGCTTTGAAATGCTTGGTGTCTATATCAGCTGTTTTCTCTGTATGTCACCCTGCCCACAGCCCCCTGCCCTTGTTTTTTAGGTGATGCTCTTGTATGCTTTTTATTTCTTTACAGATTACAAGCCATTTGCTAATGTTAGGGCTGAGAAAATTCACCTACATCAGAAATCCACTAAAGTGGCAATGAAGCTTATTTATCAATGGCCAATGATGAGATGGTGGAGGCAAGTCCTGTAATTTCTCCAGTGTTTCCTCACTAGGACAAATTCTAGCTTTTGTACTCTTTTTCTCATGAGGGCCCAGTGGCATTTCCCTGCTTTTCTTTCACTTTAAACTATAATTTCAACGCTCCAGAGGTAGTGTTAGCAAATGAATAAATAAAAAAAAATGAAAATTAAAAAAAGTCAAGTTTATCTGGCATCAATCATGATACCATAGGGATGTGTGCTACCATTTTTAAACTATTCGTGAAGGAGGGAGGGATCCAAACTGGGGTGGAGGACAAACTGAAGAATCTTTCCGCAGCTATGTTACACCCAAAGCTAATCAATACTACTGATTACAGTATTACCTTTACCGTAGGCATGCATTGTCTGCCCTGTTTGCAGTCCCTGTTTGCAGGAGATGGTGCTTTCTATATAGGCAGAAGGTCCTTTTCACCAGAGGGAGGGAGGGAGGAATGGAAAGCTGAAAAGAAAGGATCAACTTGCATTTTTTTAACCACCATCCACTAGAAAATGGCATGAGTGTCTTACACTGAGGAAAGTATTGTTTAGCAGATGCTTGGATGTCTCTCTGTGTGTGTGTTTGTGTGTGTGTAGAGCAGTCCAGCAGCCAAGGTATAAATCAGGGTGGATCTTGGTGGTGACAATTCTAAGTATGTAGCGCCTGCAGAAACTGCATTCCAAGCATTTCATTACTGCTTACTGCTATATTCCTTGCAGCTTTCCACTTCCCACAAATATTTAAGATGAAGGCTAGAAAGCCCCTGAAACAAAGCTGTCATTCAGTAAACAAAAATGCAGCCTGAAAGAATCCATTAAAATGATGAAAATCTTTAATTTTTTTATTCAGATATAATTGTACGGACACGTGTATATACAAATACAGCTCTTATGGGTTTGTTTGTTTCATTTTTACAATTTCTGTTAAGTTCATATAATGTAAGCATTTCAAAAACAGCACTCAATGAATAAGTGCAAAGAAACTGCAAAGCAGGGCAGTACAAGCACAGGACCACACTGAGCTGGACTTTCATACCCAGAAGGGCACACAATGAGTGGTTTCAATAGGGTGTCAAGAGTAAGTATGGAAAGCGGATTTTGTAGACTCATGGGTAACCTCCAACATGCCAGCATCGATTAAACTGTACAGACAATGGCAGCAAGCCTATTGTAGGGAGATTTGTCTCACATCCTAAAAACCCAGGGGTGAATGCATGGGAAAAACAGAGTAATGCCAAATCAGAAACAGATCTTTCCATTCACTGTTCTAAATTTAAAAACAGGGGTGGAGAGAGAAAGGATAACTTGCTAGGGTTGGGAAGCAGTGAAGGGAAAGAACGCTTCTGATGCAGAGCACTTATAAAGCTAAACTGGCAAATACACGTAATTTGACTGCAGTATGACTGAGATCCATACCTTTCAGGACTTCCAAAACTGACATTCCTACTGCTTTCATAAAGCAATGGCTAAATATCAGTTTAATAAAACAAAGAAAAATGAAACAAAAAAACACCCCAAGCACATTCCCTCAATAGCTACTATTTCTTTCCCTCAATAGTGGTTATATGGGAAAGAAATTATTTACATAAGACCCCCTCCCTAATTGGTTTGGGCAAATGAAGTCACTGTACACATCATATATGATGCTGGCAAGGCCCCTTTTGAAACAAACCATCTATGACAAGAAACTAAAAAGAAAAGGAAAAAAAAGAACTGGAAAAGCATCCTTACAGGAAACAAGAATTAAATTCCAAAGCCATTGAGAATCAACATGCTAATGAAAACCCAACCCCAAAAGGAAAGGTTAACCCTAAACAGCACAAGGCTCCAACATCAGACCATTAACACTGAGGACAAAACATCGATCATCAAATGCCACGCTGCTCCAAGTCCTGACACTGTGAAATCTTGAGCCTGGATGAATGGTTTTCATGGGTGAATCTTGTATGGTGGTTGACCTGTTGTGGCTACTTGTCGTTCAGTTCTTGATAGCCATGATGGATGCATCTGTCATATAAGTACTGGGTATGTGTTTTTTTTTTTCAAAATTTAATTTTTAATATCATGAAAGTCTATTATTTTTGTCACTTACAAAAGACATAAGAATCAAATTAATACTTTATTATCAAACACTATATACAACAGAGGCTGCTAATAATACAGAATTTAAAGAACATAGCATTTTTTCTTGTTTTAACTCGTCTTTCCTTTGCCATCCAAGAAAGTACAGTACAAAACAATATTTCTAAACTAACACGAAATGTTATCTTGTTGTTTATTAAAGGATACACAGTATCCACCAAACAGATCAATCCTTATTTCCCTGCTCCCCTTCGCAAAGCCCTTGGCAAACCAGGAGTAGATGACACAGGGCAGAACTGCCTGGAATGAGGGGCCATGGTGGCAGCATTTTGCATTTCAGATTTCACGCTGGGGGACAAGGGCTGTTGTAAACTTGCACAGTGACATCTTTTTAAAGATGTCAGTAACACACATACACACATACTAGAGAGAGAGAGAGAGAGAGAGAGAGAGAGAGAGATATTTTCAAGAACTGTCAGACATTGCTTGCTTGATATGACTGAGATTGCCTGATGCCATCAAGCTTTCAAAGTGGAGGTCCTGTAAACTCACTGCCCATAAGCCAGTTGGCTGCACAACACCGTCCTTTTTATTCATTGGATTAGCAGTGGCACTGTGGCAAAGCAAGGGCTTGAATTCATGGTGGTAAAAACTATGTTCTTAAGAAACGTGCTCTTGAGACAAAAGTGAATCCAGTCTTCCATTATTTATAGAGATGAATTATGTAAAACAGCTACAGTCATTGTTAGAATACTCAATCAGTATTACTCATGTTTACAGCTGGTTGTGGAGCCTTCTTGGGGATGTTATCTGGTATGCAACATCATCTTTGCTTTGTCCACTGTCTTCAAGGTAATTATTAAGCTACATAGGCACCAAGTATATACCAGAGAAAGACAAATTGTGTTGTGAGTAAAGCAGTGTCATCCTTCATTCTAGATTGTGACACTTTCCCGTGTGCATCTCTGAGCTTTCAAATCCAGCCCATGTGGTATGGTATCAGGCAAACCCAGAGCGTCTTAAATTTACTCCTTCCCATTCTATTTATGAGGAATCTTAAAATTCTTCAGTTAAAAGAAACACTTTCTTCTCACAAAACAAAAAGGCAACCATAAAAATGCAGTCTGTTGCATCATGATTATTAAATTATATGCTTATTATTTCATGAAACTACAGTGGGATCTATCCTCATTCTTGTAAGGCTTTGCTATCAGAAATGTTTTTTTTGGGGGGGGAGGAAGGAGAGATAACTTCCCAAAGCAGTTCTTCTAGTCACTTTCTATCTCTTGCAGGTTCATTTTCAGACTAGGTAAGCCAACGGAAACCCACAAAGAAGGCATTTCCTGGAAAAAGATTTATGAGGTCCTAACACCTGTATTCACTCCAATTTCAGCTGGATGTGACAACCACCCCGTTATCTTAATTATACCATTTTTCCTTTAATTAAGACAAGCACATTTATTTACTTTTAGCTTAAGGTATATCTAAATAGGATGCTTTCTATTCTACTGGAGTTTTTTTTTGGAAAAAGAATAGTTAAAGGTCTTCGGGAGTTCATCTTGTTTACTCCTCTGGATAAAGACATTTCCTCTCCTTTTCAACTATGTTGGAAAGGAGGTAAAATATAAACCAGTGCCTGAATTTTCTCTCCAAAGTTCAACATATTTTTCCTATCCTTTTCATCAACACACACCCATTCCCACCCTTTATGATGAGATGTCTTTTCTGGCAGTCTTTTTTTTTTTATTCCAGTGGCTGCTAAACTTTCAAGGCAGGCACATCATAAGTACACTGAGTAGTCTCTATCTCTGACCAGGTTTATCCCAGAAAGTGTTGTTATCACCTTCACATATATCATCACCCAGAGTGGTATCCAAGGCTATTGGCTAGTAAGTCAGCCTTGGGAAAGGTCACATTATTCACACACAAAATGAAAAAAAAAGTTATAGAAAATGCCTCTTTGCATTTGAGGAGAGGGGGAAAAACATTGTAGCACCATGGTGATGTGTTTCAAAAGAAAAATAATCTGGTGTGCACTATCCACTTAGAGAGATAATAGAGGCACTCACAACCCAGCATAGCTTCCTAAATTTGACCTTGCTTGTGGTCTAGCATTCCCCAGTAGTTACTTTTTTCCTCTCTCCCCAAGGACTGAGTTTCTATTGTGGAGCAAAAGTTGCATTGTCAAGGATCTTTCAACACAGTTGCATACAAAACTCTCTTCCCTCTGAGAGGCCTGCTCGCTGAGAAATTCCTGCAGAAAGTGGTGTTGTATCTGCTCTTAACATTTCCCCTCCAGTCCTGACATGGTGGCACAGTGCTTTGCGCAATCATCTTACAGTGCTGAACCAGGAAGAATAAACAGTGTACTGGATACAGTAAAGACTCTTCTTGCTATTCCAAACAACTTCCTTATTCTCTGACTGCAATTGCTATTACTCTTCCTTCTCCACAGACAGATGGCCCAACAAGCTAACAGAGGCGATTTCATAAGAGGCTGCAGAGGAAAGTAAGAATCACTAGTGTCAATAGTGAAATTTGGCATTTTCATCTGGAGTCCTTTTATTTTAGAAGGGGTCAAGGAAAGCCAGAGGAAGATTGGGAACAGGAAGAGGACTAGTTACACCTCTTCAATGGTTGTTCATAGTTCAGGTGGCAGAGGAAGAAGGGAAGGAGACCTGGGGGAAGAAAACAAACCAACATCTGCAAAATCAATACATAGTCCCGTTCTTGGGATGAGCAGTTAAGTGGATCTTTGATGTTCCAAGACCCTGATGTTGTTTGTGATAGGTTGCTAGAATATGTGCTATAACGTCAAAAGCATTGCCAGGAGGAACAGTAGAGTTGACAAAAGCCGACAAGATATCCTTGGTGTCTGTGCTGCGTTCTCACCACGGGATGGCTCAGCTGATTCATGTACAGTATCATCTGTTCAAACAAAAAAACATGCATTATAATGAACCTCTGCTTCCTTAATGATCTCTTAAAACCATCACACAATCACATTTCAGCACTTTCTGTAACACACAAAACAAACACACAAGTGCATCAACAAAAATAACAAAGTTGATTGTGCTGTCAGAATCTTAAAACTGAAGTAATAATCATAGGTAGTTGTGTTACGCTGTTTCCACCTGGGTAGCAACAATACAAAAAGTCTTGTCTTAACTTTAAAGACTAACAAGTTTATTTTAGTTTGAGCTTCTGTGATCACAAAATCTCTTCAGACACTTGGAGCAAAGCATTTAAGCCACAGGCTTATATATACATTGGTGTGAGGATGGGGGCAAAGCAAAATGGATTGTTGCTGAAATTGATTATGTTGCTGAAGTTCAAATGAATGATTATATCATACCAGTTTCCTGAGTTGGTAACATCCATATTGAGTTGGCACTTCAGAAACATCCAAATTGAGTTTGGAAGTGCTGGCAAATAATTCATTTGGAAAGGTTCAGATAATTCAAAATATGTTGGTTAGATGACCAGCCAAGCCCACAGAGCTAATTGCATCCTGTCAATACTTAAGAATCATATTGACAATCAGTCTGTTCTGGCTGCAGTTTAAAACATTGGTTTTGACCAGTTTTGGTTTGTAAAGATACTTCAATGAGGTAATTAATTGTAGTTACTGTTCAGGCTGAAAATGTAATTACTTATCAGTTACTTTTAAAAATGTTATTTCCACTTCATTCAAAAGTAACTAAAATAGTTTTTAAAAGGATTTCTGAAAAGAAGAATGCTACAATTATCAGAATGGTATTCAACAACTATCAGCAAGTCTCCAATATTCTATTTTTGGCAAGCAACAGAAAGTAGTATTATGTTATTTTTGGTTTCTCAGCTCCAAGCAGATTATTTAGAACCATTTCCATCTGGCTTTAGGCCTGGTCATGTGGCAGACAGTGCTGGCTGCCTCAGTACCAGGAACTGGGCAAAGGAAGTGTGTCCTCATTGTTCTGCTGGACTTCTCTGTGGTCTTCAATACAATTAACCATAGTATCCTTCTGGGCCGTCTCTCAGGGAAGGGACTTGGACACACAGTTTTACAGTGGCTCAAGTCCGTCTCGTATGGGCAAGTCCAAAAGATGCTGCTGGAAGACTCTTATTTGATGCCATGGCCATTGGCCTGTGGTGCCCCTCAGGGTTCTGTTCTGTCCCCCAGGCTACACGGAACTGTTGGGAGATGTGGTTCTGGATCTTTGGAATTTGGTGTCATCCCTATGCTGATGACATCCAACTCTATTTTTCCTTTCCAGCTAAATCTAGGGAAGCTGCCTCAGTTCTAAACTGGTGCTGTGTGTTAGTAATGAGCTCAATGAGGGTGAACAAACTTAATCCAGAGAAGACAGAGGTGCTCCTGGTCAATTGAAAAGCAGATGAAGGAATAGGGACTCAGCTTGTGCAGGATGGATGAAAATTCAGGTATATAGCTGGAGCAACAGCTGCACCCATTCTGTGAGATGTCAATTTGGCTATAGTGATACATGCCTTAGTTACGTTTCATTTGGATTACTGTAACATGCTTTATGTAGTGCAGCCTTTAAAGATGGTTCAGAAACTTCAGCTGGTTTAAAATGCAGCAGCCAGATAGCTGACTGGGGTTAGTTACAGAGAGCATGTAACTTACCTGCCACAACAGTTTCCCTACCCTTTTCAGGCCCACTTGAGAGTCAGGGCTATAACCTATAAAGTCCAATATAATTTGAGTCCAGGATATATGAAGGACCCTATCTTCCCTATAAGACTTCCTGGCTCCTGAGGCCCTTCTCTGGATCCCATTGCTATGACAAGTACATTTGATAGGCCCATGACAGAGGGGCTTCTCCCTGGCGCCTCCCAGGGTGTGGTATGCTCTTCCTTTGGAAGTGAAGTTGTCCCCTTCCATTTGGTCTTTTTGGCAACGCTTAGATAATTGTCTCTTTAGGCAGAGTTTTAATAAATAAATTGGGCAAAATTAAGTCCTTCCTGGGTGCTATGTTTGTGTTTTAAAAGTCCGCCTTTTTCCACCTTTGGCGGATTGCCCGGCTGCAGCCCTATCTCGACACAGGGGCGCTCACTACCTTGGTGCATGTGCTCGTAATCTCAAGATTAGACCACTGTAACACACTCTACGTGGGGCTGCCTTTGAAGCTGATGCGGAAACTTCAGGTGGTGCAGAATGCAGCGGCCAGACTCCTTACTGGAGTGAGAAAACACCAAAGAGCCAAGATCCTTAAAACAATTACAGATCCTGGCTAGTTAAAGGAACTGGAAGCAAGGAATCCAAATCTGGACATAATATTAAGCTTTCTGTAGTGGTAAATGATGCCGAGAGAGGCCCGGAAGGAAAGGACGTGAAACCGGGCCTTCTCGGCGGTGACTCCTCACCTCTGGAACAACCTCCCTCCGGAGATTCATGCGGCCCCTACGCTGGGTGCCTTTAAAAGTCAATTAAAAACATGGCTGTATATTCAGGCCTTCCCTCCAGCTAATATCTGATTTTTCTTTTCATTTTTCTTTTATTTATTTCTTATTCTGTCTTTGTATTGTATTTGTTATTGTATGATTTATGTAATATTTTGTGTTATTTTACTGTTCTATGTGATATTGGAAGCCGCCTAGAGTGGTCTTATAGACCAGATGGGCGGGGTACAAATCAAATCAATCAATCAGTCACTCAATCAATCAATAAATGCTTAAATAATCTTTTTTATTATAATACATGTAATTAGTTTTAACTTTATAATTTATTGGCTAAAACCCAACATTAAGTCACAACAAGAGTTGTCCCATTGAATCACTGGAACTTAAAAAGGTGATGACTCACCTAATCCTCTTTGATTCAATAGAGTTATGACTTAATATTGGATTTCAGTCACTGGTTTTGGTCTTAATAGTTTTCATCACTGAGCCACCTTGGGTCCTCTCATTGGGAGAAAGGTGGCATAGAAATTAAACAAGCAAACAAATAAAGTTTTAATATACTCGCGAAGGCTTTCACGGCGGGGATCTAATGGTTGTTGTGGGTTTTTTGGGGTCTTTTGGCATGTTTTTGAGAATGTTTTTGCAGAGCATAGAGTGCTGTTCTCTGAAGATTCCCGCCACAGAGACTGGTGAAACATTAGGAAGAACAACCTTCAGAACATGGCCAAAGAGGCCAAAAAACCCACAACAACCAAATAAAATTTTATCTTTGTTAATCTCTAAACACTCACTTTTAACTTTGGTTTTGTTTAATAAACAATTCAATGATGTGCCTTTGCTGAATAATTTCAGTGCTTGGGAAAAAAAAGGGAACTGGACTTATTGGAAAGATTAATTGATTGTCAGAATGTCCTGAATTACAAGGAAATTATAAAAAGGAATAAACTCCACCTCTTTCAGTTTTTTCAAATTAGGACTATAGAAACTGCTTTACTATGAAATTATGGAGACCTAAGTGTACAAACAGTGTTTGAGTTAATAGTAACTGAAAAGTATATGTCTGAGACAATACAGGTCAGATTTATTAATTGTTATCAAAATGTGATACTACTCCTTTAAGTTATATGAGGAATTGGGGAAACACTTGTAATTGAATGTAAATTTAATAGACTGCAAATGGAATTGGGAAAATGAATTCAACATTAATTTCAATGAGTTTGTGTGAGAAATGTGTAAATTATTTTATCAATGGTAGCGATTTTTTTACATTAAAGGGTTCTCCCCTCTGTTTCAAGGCTCCCAACAGATTCTTCAGGTTGACAGGTATAACTAGAGAACCTCAGATTCAGAGAGTAGAGATACGAAAATTTAAATTATAGTCCACAGTCAAATGACATAATCAGTCATTAAATGTGTGGGTTGTGCAACATAATTCTGCCCAGAATGTCACAATTGTAACTTAACTTATGCTTTACTTATTGCTAAAATAGATTAACTACAAGTAGCCTGTTCTTTGTAACAAATTACTTCTAGCTATTTGTAGATATTTACTGTGGTTCTGTCAGATAATTACTGTTTTTGCCACTAAGTGTTCTGGTACCAGAACTGCCAAAAATATGGCTTGGAAATAAGGCTGGCAACTACAGTGGACAGAGACTTCATCTTAATGGCGTACAGACTTCCCTTCATAGGCTTATTCCTAAGAACTGCACATTATGATTTTTGGAACCAAATGGAATTTTTATTCATCCAAGTGTTTGTTGGTACTTAATGGCAAGACACTGTATACAGTTATTACTGTTATTATTATTCAGCGGATTGATGTTCTTTTTGTTTCGTTTTTACCTCTTTTTGTTTTAACAGAAACAGCTTTTAAAAAACAAACAAACCCAAGAGGCTTTTAGTTGCTTTTGAGGCTTGCAGTAGTGAGATGGTAGAATATTAGTGTTTATAAAGTGAAAAAGTAATAACAAATGCAAATAATAGGTATTTGCTTGATTTGCCCCCACCCTATGCTTTTTATGAAAAGACAACTTGAGATCATACAAATGAGATATACTTTGTACCCAAGCACATTAGTATATAGTTTAGACAGTGTACAATAAAATTCAACAAACCTATCCTTGTTAATTAAATGAGATATTAACAGAAACCTCTTAGGATTCTGTGAATTATTAACAAGTATTTCCTTATGTAATCGTGTGAAAATGTTCTGGTTCCAGAGATGGGGAGCTGGCTGCTTCAAATTTCTATATATGGCGTAATCTGCTCACTGACAAATGGCCTTTCCCATGAAGTCCATACAGCTGGATGTATCCACACAGGCAGAAGGAATGGAGAGGCAGAAGTTGAAGGAGGACTTCACAACACAGCTCTCTCATGCCCCACTCTTGTGTGTTGCACTGAAGGTGTTTTTATTAAATGTATCTCTGCACATCTGTTTTCACATTACACTGTAATCGCCTGTGGATCTGGTTTCCCTGCTCTTCTATAAAACAGATTCCTACCACTTTTAAGAGCCTTATGATGAAAGGCACAACAGTAGGATTTACCACTGCTATGCACCTCAATGGAAACGGAATGTTTTCTGTATATAGTTTGCCTCTACTGATTATAATGGTTAGATTTGCTTTGTTATAAGGTATTGGGTTGGATCCAGATTTAGTTGCTGTAAGAATAGATACATTAATACCAATGAGATATTTTTAAACATCCTTAAAGGAAAGCTCTGAGAAGGACAGTAAAATTTGGGTTAAAAACTAGGAAAAGCTTCTTAACTGTCAACATTATTTGGTGTTGCAACAGTTTTATGACACAGTATGTGTCTGAGCTTGACTCTGAATCCACAAAGGAACCAAAGGTTGTTGCTGTTGTACGTTGGCTCTGACTCACGGCTACTCTATGAATGAGTGACTTCCAACATGTCCCGTCCTCAACAGCTCTGCTCAGCTCCTGTAAACTCAAGACTGTGGCTTCCTTTAGGGAATCAATCCATCTCATATTTCGTTTCTACCTAAGCTGGCCTCTATGTGATTACCCAAGCTAGCGTGTCGGCTGCTGTTTAAATATTTCTTTGGGGAGTGCCTCCTTTCCCAACATGGTTTGTGTTTGCATATATGCTCTGTTGGGATCTTCTTCCTATATTACTGGGTGCCACGATAGAGTCGTTCATGCAACTAACTGCAATGACAGTGACATTTTGGAAACTACAGATGTAACATTTTCCAAAGTTCTACCTTTGTGTACTGAAAATCTCCCCTCCAAACCACAGCTAAAGCTCATGTCAGCATCAGCTTTAACTATGAAGACATTACTCAGCAAGTCGTGGTTAAGAGAGAATCCCAGTTAACATTAACTGGAGTTAAAGCTAACAGGGGAAATGAAGCAGAAAATTCACAAGCAAGAAGGGATGACTGGCAGGAAAGAATGTGTAATTCCATGATTCATTCCTCATGTTATAACTATAATGAGGAGAGACAAATGCCCCTAGAAAACAGCTAAGCTCATTATTCACTTTCTATGACAGGAAGTAAGAAACTAGTTCTCTATAAGCAATTATTGTGGTGCAGGGGATAAAAGAACGTGACAGGCAAGACTACATTTGAGTGCTGCAGAAGGTATTTTCCATCCCACAGGTTGACTATGAATACTTATATGCTCTGTATTTGCTGGACAATACCAGAGACTGCTTAAGCAGAAGCAATGTCCATATGCCTAGTATGCAGTCCATTTTGCATTTAAAATCCCATTATTATTTTCACTATAGTGTAGAATTAAAAAATGCCTAGCTTACACCAGTCAAAAGTGCCCTTTCAAATAACCTGCAACATAAAGCTTATTGCAAATGGGGCTGTTAAATAAATTTATTTGGAAATAATCATTCGTAAAATGTGTTTACTTAGGAACAGTCAGCTGGCAGTATGTCTCTCTGAATTCAGACACTTCTTTACATACAGATGTATTTTAGTAAGCAAAATCTAGTTCAAATTATGAATTTAAATACTTCTGGTTTTACTGGAGAATTAGAGATGCACTCAATCAACTGAAATCAGAGGGATTTTAGAGTGTTTATCTAGCACAATACCATCTTTCATTCGCAGAACAAAACTTCCAAATATCTTATTTATATTTATGTAAACCTTTGTACTGAGCTAGCACTCTCCTAAAGCACACAAATCACCAATGAGATCAGCCTGAGCAGCAGTATATTTAGCAAGACACGTTTGCTTAGAGATATATAGGAATCTGCAAAAATACTCCAGGCTAGAAGTGTGCCATTCATTGGTTTTTTTGGACTCTGATTCCCAGAAATCTCCAAGAATTCCCAGGCAAAATTCTGGGAGTTCCTGCCCTGATACTCACCTACAGATAACTATAGCTCACTCATCTAGAAGAGGCTCTGTTTTTCACAAAATGGAAACTGCTCCAGTGATTTCTAGGTCTTTGCAGGAGATGTAGTTCTTCGGGGTGCCCTATACAGAACCTAACGGACCCAGGGGTAGTCTTGCTCTCCTCCAAGGAAGCATTAGGACAATTTATTTATTTATTTTATTTATGTACAGGGGGCAGGTCCAAAATAGCCTGGAAAATAAGGCCTGTTTCAGGTGAGTGAAACAGGTCTTATAAATATGTGTCTGCAAGTAAAATAAAACAAAATAATGGCACACCCCTCCTCCAAGCAACTCTTCTGTATGTGACAGCAGATTAATTTTATGATAAATGATACCTGACAATAAACACATTGCCCTCATTATAAAGTCTGCAATGGTTTTGATAAACCTCCTGGAACTTGTTTGAGAACACACATTGATGGATAGAATTATGTAAAATCCACTGGGGATCTGGATTATTTAAGAAAACATGGCCTCACCAGGATCTTCAACAACACAAAGCCTTTCATATGATCCCAACAAACCTTGTAAATAAACAATATTACACATACATATTTTCTTTCTTAACATTTACCTCCTGAATGGATATTATAGTGCAGCAACTTACTATAAAAATGGAGTGGGAATGGGGACGGAATAACTATTGAATTTTTAAATTTAGGATGTCATGTCTGAGTAAATATGTTGTCATGGAAAAAGCATACTTTGCCTCATAATTGTTACAAGAGAATAACAGCACCAGCAAATAAGATATATCATAAGCAATATTAGCACTGCAAGAAATGAGTAAAAGCAGTCATTTTACCATGCAAACCATGCAGAGAGAAAGAGGAAAAGAGAAGCAAAGCATCAGAGAAATAGAGGCATTTGTTAAAAGAGATTCTCTAAGCATACTAACCTGCTGGTTCTAATGAATTTTCTACTTTGTCGTTAACATCGAAAACACGATCATGAACACCTATAGTTTTCATACAGTTGTCTATAACAAAAATAGAGATAACAGCCAAATATGTTAGTGAGACACCCTTAAATTGCCCATTTTCCCTAATTTTTTTGTGTGTGCTACCTGATTTCTATTTCTATTATATGTATGTATTTATATCTCAGGAGTGGCATGCCTCCAAATGCCACGGCAATTGTCTTTTTTTTTACAACAATCTAAGAAACAACAAGTTAGCAACTGCGGTATCCATAAAACAAATAAGAAAAAAGCTTTGTGAAAAAATGGTGAAAGATATGGTGAACAGAAACAAACTAAAAAATGCCGCTATATAGAATAGACACCTCACAGGATTTAATAGTAAAAAGAAGTTTTTATGAAACAATGCAAGCGCTATAAAGCAACCCTCCAAAGCTTGATTTAAATAACTTACTTGCAGGCCGTACAAAGACTTTCAGCTTTAGACAGGACCTCCTCCCATTATTGTCAGGGATGGCAGATGCTGTTGAAGACAGAGGGGAAAGAGGAGTACAGTATAGTTACGTGTTGTCATATACACACATTATGTCATACATTGTTTTCCTCCGAGATAATACTTATTTATGGATTCAACTTATATGCCACCTTTCTCCCAAAACTGGAAACCAAAGTAGTTTACAATATAGTTTTAAAAAATACAATTCAAATACACAGATACAAATGTCAAAACAGAATTAAACTCAGTGTATGATTAAAATGTAATTAAAACTTAAAGAACTAAAATCTCTCAATTAAATTACTAAATAACAGTTTCCCTAAAAGGAAGAGCAAGAGCAAGAGAACATCCATAGCACACACATAAAAAGGAAGAAAATAAATGACTGTGAATAATAAAGAAGCCTTCAAGGTCCTCTCATTGCTCTTTTATTTAAGTAAGGAAACAGTGCAACAACAACGTAACATGAGGTTGGGGGAACAGCCAGAATAGACTTGCAGAAGTATATCTCTTAGACTCCATACAATTAAAGTCTGTTCTAGCACAGTCAGATCCTGACCCTGGGAATGCAATTAAGATGTTGATCTTGTTTCACAGAACAATTTATTAAGTAAACTTTAAATCCAAAACTAGAGAAGTTACTTTCTTGGACTATAAATCATAGAAATCCCCAGCCAGCATGGTCAAGATTCTGGGAATTCTAATTTTAAAAGGTCACTTTCCCCACCCACTTTATAACCAATCAGTTGTGTGGAGGCTGAATCAGATAAGAAGCTATTTCACAGTACAAGTACTGTAGGTTATATCAACGAAGGGGGGGTGTAGGTGGGATGTTTGTCTAGCAAAAACTAGTCCTTATATATTACAGTGGATTTATACATAGGTCAGTGTAGGTACTTGGTTATATAATTCTGAACTAGAGATGGGGGTACAGTATTTGTATTCGTAGATGTATTTGAATACGAATATCCCTGCACAGGTGGTGTTAATGAGGGTCCAGCCCCATAGGGCCTGACGGTCCACTCACCGATCTGCTCCCGACGGCGCAATTCTACCAATGGCACCGCAGTGCACAACCCACTTGCCACTCTTTGACCTTGCAGTGAGGCTTGTCCTCCCACCTCCTGCCGGGAGTAGTGAGTGGATCGCATGCTGTAGAGCCATTCGTAGAATTGTGCTGTCCGCATCTGCGTCAGATCGGTGTGTGGACCATCTGGCCCCATGGGGCTGGACCCTTGTTAATGCCACCTATGTGGGGATATTCGTACAGTTGTGCCCCGCTTAACAACTGCCTCGCTTAACGAGGAAATTGCTTTACGATGAGGTTTTTGCGATTGCAATTGTGATCGCAAAACAATGGTCTAAATGGGGGATTTTGCTTAGCGACGATCGGTTCCCTGCTTCGGGAACCGATTTTCACTTTACGACGATCAAAAACAGCTAATTGTCGGGTTTCAAAATGGCTGCCAGCTGAAGAAAATGGCCCCCCGCTGTGCTTTGGGATGGATTCCTCGCTGCACAGGCATGGAAAATGGCCACCCCATGGAGGATCTTCGCTGGACGGTGAATTTTCAGCCCACTGGAATGCATTAAAAGGGTTTTAATGTGTTTCAATGGGCTTTTTTATTTCGTTTGACAATGTTTTCGCTCTACAGCGATTTTGCTGGAATGAATTAACATCGTCAAGCGAGGCACCACTGTATACCAATATGAATACCCCAATCTCTGTTCTGAACTCAATGGGTTCAAGTTACAGGAAGCCAGGTTTATGCTAAATATCATGAAAAGCTTCTTAACTGTTAGACCAGTACAAAAATGGAACCAATTACCTCGGGAGATGATGAGTGCTCCAAGGCATTCAAGAGAAAATTGGACAACCATTTGGCAGATCTGCTTTGATATGAATTCCTGAATTGAACAAGGGGTTGGGCTCAGTGACCATATAGGTTTCTTCCAGTTCAAATATTCTATGATTTTAAGACTTATAAGCTGGAATGTTTTGTGGCATGTTAGGGCACCACTGGGCTAGGTTCACTGTTAGTCCCTACTAGAGGGACTGGCTCAAATTAGTAAGACTTGTTAGTCATTCCACTGATTTCAAGATGTTAGCTTCAACTGGGACTGGGACTGGATCCAGCCCATTCTGTCTACCAACAAATAGAAGTTTTGAGGTTATAACTTTGAATGCAATGACAACATCTATTTTACTGATGGTGAGGACGGAAGATTTCATGCTGCCAAGAAAAACAGTAGCACAAAGGTGAAATGGCCAGGTGAATAGGAAGATAGAAACAGTAGCTATGAAAACAAACCATGCACTTGATGATGGATACCACAAAGAAGCCAACTGCTCTGCATTGGCTTGGAGTGGACTGGGAGGACAGGATGCCACTGAGATAAGGCCTTGGTAAGAAGCACAGAGGGACGATGTTTATGACAGGCATGAAATGGAGCATGATGACCCCCCCCCAAAAAAAGACAAGTGCTTGTATACACAACCAGCCAATAAACCACAGCATTAAGCTTCAAGGAAAATGGTGTTTATAAGGTTTTAGGGTAAGCCTTGGTTGAAAAAAAGGGCAGCTTTATAAAACAAAGCCTCATGTTATACAACTACGTTCGTGCCTGTTCAAAGGCTTCCTTGTTCTAAAAAAAATGCTTGGTTTCATATTTTTGTTTCCCACAAGACATATACTGTACACTTGGCTTTTCATGAATTCTGTTAATTTTTTATAGTTAATTTTGTTTGTGACTACCATAACCTGTTACACACAGGCATGACCTCAAGGCTGTATGACACAAATAGACAAAATGTGCCTAGATTATTGATAAATTGAGGGATAAGCTATTAAAGAATTGTGAACGCATCCCTTCAAACTTTGATTGTATCAAGGAATATTTTCTGAAAAAGGAAGTTTAAAGTGGAAGAGGAAGACTTTTTAAAAAGGGGTCAAGGACTTGAATATACACAAGCACATGTTTGCATGTCTGCCTTTTTCAATCATAGAAAAAAAGGTACAGAAATGAATCCTTTCAACTCTGCTTCTTACTCATGGACAAATAGAGAATAATTTCTTACAGCTGTCTTAGCTGTAGGCACTTTCTAAATCAAAGTGGCGGGGCAGAGACCACTCTGTAACATTTACCCAACCGATGGGCTGCAGCGTATACTATGGCTCTCTAAAGGGACATCCAGGAAATGTGGTCCTCTCCATGTCCTATGATTAATCCTACTCAAACAGACTATTTTAATAAAATACTCTCTGCATTCTCTATCTAACAACTCTGACATCACTGTACAAGTACATTGCTTCCTCTGTTAGCCTAAGCAAAAATGTGCATTTGACTATTTCCTGCTCTGTTTGGTCTTTTAAATGATTTTACAAATGATACAGAAAGGAGATTATGGCATATTCAAAGGCAGGATGTTAGTTTTTACATTCATTGTTTGGAAGCTATCTTTGCTTTTGCAAAATGAACACAGCATGAACTTCACTGCTCCATATACTACCTGATGTATTTTCCCTGTGATAAAACAGAAAGGCAAGTAAATTGCCATCCACTTTCATTCCTGCTCTAAACAGCTTTACCACAATGAAAGGCAGCAAATACAGAAACTGATGCTTTATTAATATTGAAAGTTATTTTTGACCTTGCATACCATGTTACAGTTGTAAACGTCCGTGTTCAAAATCTAGTAATGACAACAGTTGTGTAGTAATTCCCAAAGTGGTGGCAGGTACAAAAGCTGGCCTTTTTTTGTCCTATTTTCCCAATTTACAATGATGAGTCTGTATGTTATAAAGAATAACTACAATCCTTTTACACTCTCGGTGGTTCTGTATGCCAAGAATATGACATGTCTGTATAAGAAATAATGCTATTTCCTAATCAGGGATGGCAGATGCTGTTGAAGACAGAGGGGAAAGAGGAGTATAGAATTCAGAATTATTAGAAATCTACCCATACTTGAGCAGCAAGAATCGTCATCACTTTTTGTGAGGAATTCTCTTTTACTTTTTTGTTTCTTCTACTTTGAAAAAGTTCAGAATCATAAAGGCAAACTATTAGGCAATATTCATATAGATTTCAAATACTCATTCCAAAGTTCAAGTCTCATAAAAATTATTACCACTTAAAACTAATGTATTTCTGTCAATGGCAAGAATTCAAAGTCTGAATCACCATTAATTTCTTTTCTGTTTCATCTTGTTTCATAAATTCATGGCACATCTCCAACCAAAACTAGAATAGAAAACGTAAGCTAATATAAATCTAGCTTAGTAATGATGGCAAATTTATTTTGATTGAGATGGAGTGGGGTGGGGGAATTGCTGCAAAAGCTAACTCTGTTTACCACATCACCCCCTGCCATTTAAGCACTATAAAATATATATTTAATGTAGTGACAATTTAGCTCCAATCACTTTCCGAATGAAAAGGAGTTTCGCAAAGTTTCAAATTTTATCATCTGCAAGTATTCAAAATTTGAATTTATGTATGATACTGGTCTTTTAAGTTTTGCACATAGCAACATATCTCAGCGGCCCGGGCCATACATAAATTCCTACCTATCTATTATCAATCTACTAGAATTTAAGATAGGAAGAATGGAAGCAGAAGTCAAAGTGTTAAGAAATCATCTTCCTTCCTCATGCTTTCCAATCACTGTACATTTTATGGGCATCCACAAACAAAATAGGTTAAGTTAAATGAAGATTTGAAACTGATTAAGATTTTCTGTTTCCAAATTGGTTTTTCCTTTTTTACATTTCATGTGCATGCGTCTCTGTATAAATAATTTTCAGACCAATTTTGGAGGCTTAAATAAAGCTAAAAAGAAGCGGGTAGTACATTAGTTGTTCCCTTTCAGCTAAGGAGCATTAATGTGTTCTCAGGAAATATTTCTTCAGTAAATGCAACCAACCACTGGTTAGTTTCCAACAACAGAGACAGCTGGAGGTACAGTGGTGCCTCGCTTAACGAGCGCCTCGCTGAGCGATGAAATCGCTTAACGAGGCGCTCTG